CTGTGTATCTTTCGGCTTACCCAGCGGCCTGATATCGTTGGTGTTTCCACTCGTCAATGAAGGTGTTGAGCGGCTCGAACATGGCAACCCCGTCAACAGACAGCCGCACACCTACACCGGCCCAAACCACACAGCAACCACACACATCGCATACATGGGCATCAAATCAATCAAGGGGATCCATCTCATCTGCAACCCCGCAATCACCTGGGACGTATTCCATTTTTGCGGGGTTGGCCAGCCGTCTGGCGGCGTTGGCCATGTCAGCCCGGAGGGCGACAGGGGCAGTGGAGGGGAGGGCATCGGACAGAGCCGTCAGGACGTGCGACAAACCCAACAGACCTGCAAACCCGCGCCCACAATCGACGACCTTTCTCTGTTTCCTGCTCATTGCCCATCTGTCTGTCTGTCTGTCAGTGTGCGTGTGTACCGTGGGCCATTCCGGTGAAGGTCTTCTGCGTCACAGAAGACACAGCGCTGTCCACCTGCACAGACACACACACGCGCACCACACACATAGATGCGTCACCCAGATGCCCACAGACAGGGAGGCGTTTGTGTCTGGCTCATGCATGCCTCAATACCATGTCAGCAGACAACCCCTCTAGCGAGTCGCTGCTCCACGCGCGGGCGTCAAAGTGCATCGGCAGGCCCGACGGCAGCAACGCCTCCGACAAACCTGTCACACAAACACACACACGCACACACACACACGCACACACAAGCAGTCTCTCCCCTGTCTGTGTGTCACTGATCAGGCCTCAGGAGACGTCGGTCATGTGTGTCATTCGCACCTTCCATGATGCCTCTGGCGACGTTCTCATGCCCTGTCTGCTCCGCAGCAGCGCCACAAGCGACCAGCAAGGCCACGACGAGCCCAAACAACCGGCGAAGCATAGCTGTAGCTGGTGCGAGAGTCGGACGCCGCGCGCTGCGTCTCTCTCGGTCCTTCAGGAAGGAGCAGCGGCACTGCCTTCCGAACGAGCAGCTGGAGCGTCTCTCTGTTCGAGGCGACCTGGCGGCAAGCGCTACAGCGCCTTGGACTCCCTTGGATAGCTGTGTGGTGGAGCTTTTTCCCGCTTTCCTTCCCCTCGCCTCTTTTGCGAGATCAAAAATGACTTCAACCCTAGCTCGCGCGCGGTGGATCTTCCGGTTTGGTCTTCAGATCAAGATCTGGTCTTCTGTGGTCTTTCCTGCTTCATTGGGCCTTGACGAAGCCTACATGCTTCAGATCTGACTTAGATCTGCACACTTCAGCGGGCGTCACAGCCTCGGGTCCAGTCGGCGGATCTTTGTGCTGGGAACGATGTGGTTACCCTTTAAGGCCCTGAATGAGTACATCGCCGAGAGCCGCGTCGGGCGGTACTTCAAGCTCAAGGAGAGGGGGTCCGATGTGGCGACCGAATTGAGAGGCTCACTTGCTACCTTCATGACCATGGTGAGGCGAAAGCCATCCCATCCGCCGTGTGTTGAGGGCAGGTGTTTGATGGATGGATGGATGGATGGATGACTGCAGGCTTACATCCTGGCTGTCAACGCCAGTATCGTTGCCCTCTCTGGTGGTCCCTGCGGCGTCCCGCCCTTCATTCGGCCCGACGAGAACGTCGACTTTGCAGAGTGTACGCCACCCACACGAGGCATTAGTTCATTCAAACCATCCTTCACACGTGTGTCTGGGTCAACCAAATAGGCGTGTGTGTGTGTGTGTGTGTGTGTGTCGTTCAGGGGAGAAGTGCAATGTGCAGGTGCGGCGCGACCTGGTGGTGGCGACGGCTGCGTCGTCGGCTGTGGCCTGCTTCCTCATGGGAGCCTTCGCCAACATGCCCCTCGCACTCGCGCCTGGCATGGGCATCAACGCGTACTTCACATTCAACGTGGTGTGGGGCGGGATCCCTTATGAGACCGCCCTGGCGGCCGTCTTCATTGAGGGCATCATCTTCGTCCTGCTGGCCGTCACTGGCGGACGGGCATTTATCGCCAGATGCATCCCGGAGTGCATCAAATTCGCGACAGGTGAGCCGATAAATAAGGACGAACCAACACACACACACACACACACAAAGGCGGATGTCGGTGTGTGTGGTGTGTGCAGCCGGCGGCATCGGTCTGTTCCTTGCCCACATCGGGCTGCAAAGCTCCCAAGGTGAGCCGTTGGATGAGCCACGGGCATGGGTGGGTGCCTGTGGATTGTGTGTGTGTGTCTGTCTGTGGTGTGCAGGTATCGGTCTTGTGACGGGCAACTCGGCCACCCTGGTGACAGCCGGCGGCTGTCCGCCCGAGTACAGAGACGAAGATCCTGATTCTGACTGGTGAGAGGAGGGGGGCGGGGGGTGATTGGGGGCAGCACACACACACAAACACACGCACAGACGCACACACGCTCCTCACACATACTGCGTCAGGTATCAGTGCGAGGACGCGGGCAGGGGTCTGTCGCTCACCATGTGGTTCGGCATCATCGCACTCCTCCTCATGGCCTTTTTGTAAGCCAACCAGAGAACTACCCAGACAGAAGGAGACCGACTCTGCTGTCGATCTGTGTTCGCCTCTCGCAGGCTCATGAAGAAGTTCAAGGGTGCCGTCATCACTGGTGAATAGTGGATGCAGCTTGGGTAGTAAAGAGCTCTCCACATCTAGGTGTGCCTCTCGTGTGTCTCTTTGAGTGTCGTAGGCATCGCGCTCGTCACCTTTATCAGCTGGATCCCCGGCACAGCCGTCTCCTACTTCGAAGAGAGCGTCTCACCAGGCGCAGAGGTACACACACACACACACACACACACACGACACAGCCATCGGCCCCGTGTGTGTGACCGTGTTGGCAGGAACGTTACGAGTACTTCAGCAAGGGTGTCGACCCCCCCTCCCTCTCCCTAACGGGCCTAGCCCTGGACTTCTCGACATTCGCCGATGGCTCCGTGTGGAACGCCCTCATCACCTTCCTCTACATAGATCTGCTCGACACCACCGGCACGCTCTACTCCATGGCATCCTTCGCGGGGCTCATGAATGAGAAGTGAGATGTGATCACACCGACCTCACCCAATGAGACGGCGAGGCACTGCTGTCTGTTGTCTGTCTCCTGATTGGCTGGTCGTGCAGCGGAAGCTTTGAGGGCGAGGCCCGCGCGTACATGGTGGACGGCATGGCGACGGTGGTGGGCTCCTTGATGGGGACATCGCCCGTCACCACATTCGTCGAGTCGGGAGCCGGGATTGAGGAGGGCGCCAAGACGGTACACACTTGGGAAATTCGGCACTCTCTCGGCGTGTGTATGTGTGTGTTTGGCATCATCCGTGTGTGTGTTTAGGGTCTGGCGGCAGTCTTCTGCTCGTTTTATTTCTTTCTCGCTTTGTTCTTCGCGCCGATCCTGGCGTCGGTTCCGCCATGGGCGACCGGGCCGGCACTCATCCTGGTGGGCAGCATGATGATCAAGAACCTCGTGCACATCAGATGGGACAACGTCGGAGAGGTCAGCAACACACACACACACACACGTGTCCATGGCTCCATCTGTGTGTGGGGGGGCTGATGGATGGATGGATGGATCAGGCCGTTCCTGCCTTCCTGACGGTGGCGTTGATGCCGCTGACCTACTCCATCGCCTACGGTCTGCTGGCCGGTCTCGGCGCCTTTGTGATCCTCAACCTGCCCGACCTCATCTGGGACCTCATCCAGGGCCGCGGCTTCCAGAGGCTGGTACGCTCGAGAGACGCACACACAATGCTCATTCGCCGACATGTCTGCCAGTGACCGTGTGTGTGGTCTGTTGGTGGTGTGTGTGTGCAGAGGCGCTCCAAGAATGTGTCGGCGAAGGAGGCTGACTCCAAGACCTCACGAGATGACGCAACCGACTTCGACAAAGTCAGTTGGAAAAGAGGAACCAAGGAGGAGAGAGAGACCTGACTGTCGTCGTGTGTGTGTGTGTGTGTGTGCAGGTGGAGGAGCTTCCTTCCACGCAGCCCGTGACGCCCGCCAAGGGTCAGCTGGCGACCGGCCAAGACAACGACTTGCTCAAAGTCTGATGGCGGACGGACACATGCGAGGATGTAATGTACCGCATTGCCATCTGTACTGTCCGCCTGTCCGTCTCTGTCGGTTGTCGGTGCTATTATATTTTTTCTTGCTTGCCTCTCCTTGGCTCGACTTTCCTCTGCTGCCTGCGCCCCTGAGAGATTGAGAGATCAGCCAGCAGGCAGGCAGGCTCGTGTTTCTGTCTGTCTGTCTGTCTGTCTGTCTGTCGTGCTTGATTACCTACTTGCTGCGCTCTCCGATGGGACTTACGTATACGTGTTTCCGGTGTGCTGTGCGTCCGTTTCGTTTTGTTATTACGGCAGTGATTGAAGGCTTTATCGCCTACACACCACATCAATCAGGCGCTGAGAGGCCTGCATTCTTGATGCTTTCATAGCGTAGCGTGCGCGTTTGTTCGTGTGCGCGCGGGGCGCGGGGTGGGCGACCGGTTTCTTATGGGAAGGAAGCTAGGAGTGTTTGTTTGAGACGAGGCTTTTTCCTCCATCTCTCCGTCTGTAGTCTCTCTGTCTGTTCAAGCTATTGCTATTGCTATGGTCCAGATGTATGGCATGGCAATGTGTCGTCGGTCGGTCGGTCGGTCAGTCGGTCGTTGGTGGTTTGGTGTGGTGGGGCGAACTTTTATATGGGGGGTGGTGTGGTCCGGGTATGCTCATCTAACTACCTAGTGAGTGTCCGTGACGTGCTCTCTACACTTCCTTGGCTGTTTGTGTCTGACGGCTGCGGCGTGTGCTTCTGCGCGTCCATGTCGATCGGTACGCGCGGGCGCAAAGTAAGCATGCAAGGGAAGAGGAGTGGCCAGGGCGGACCAAAAATGCCTGGAAGTGGGAGTATTTCAGTTGACTGACGCTACCATGTATGTATACTGATGGATGGATGGATGGATCGATGAGGTCCGTGGTGCAGGGAGAAGAATGCACTAGCTCAAGCTCGTGGACATCCAGGAGATATATATCCTCCCTGACACACTGCGCCCGACAGTTAGGGTTTGAAACCTAATAGGGTTTTCAAACCCTATCGGCCAAGATGGGCAACACGCAAAACAGGGCTTCTCGCGAGGATAGGGAGCTCATATATCACGCGTTGCCAACGTCTGGCCTTCATGGGAGCGACATCCCTTCCTGCGACTACCTCTCCGTACACGACGCCGATGTCTTCAAGAAGTACTTGGACGCCGAGGGCAGGATCACCAACCATGCTGTCTTCACCAACTGGGCGCTCGGCCTCAAGCTGCGGCAGGACGAGGCCTGGGGATTCCCTGGCGGCTAGGTACCGCAGTGGCACTTGTTATTGGACTGGGTGGCAAGCAAAGTGGCAAGATCTGCTGAACACCGCATCCATCCGCTGCGCCATCCAAGCCCTCTCTGGGAGCTGCGGCACCGGCATCTTCCATGCCTGCGCCAACAGCTGGACACCTGTCGCGACCATGCGGCCTCAGCGTTAGATCGGCCACACCCAACACGGCAGACGGAGAGCGCGAGCCGCTCTTGTTGCGTCACGACACCGTGGACGAGAGTAGGGCGGTCTTGAGGCTGGGGCTAATTTATTGCTCTTGTAGACTCGAAGAGTCTTATCCGGAAACGCCATTGGCACAAGACGACGGGCCACGTCGCTGGTGCAGAAGGAGTCTTTCTTCTACCTCGTGCTTTGCCCTCATGTATGCACCCTCGTGCTTCGCCCTCGGGTGGGCTGTGCGTTGACCCCAGTGGAGATGAATGAGGACTCAGCGGCGAGAGTGATCCAACGGTCGGCGAGAGCGTCTCTGTGGCGGCGACGAGATCAAGGACTCAGGACGGGAGACGACTCTGATGCAGACGGCGAGGCTCCGGCAGCGCAGCCAGCACCA